CTAAGAACAAAAAATAAAACATAAATTTATTTAGATTGCTACGCATGTTCACTTTGTCTGGTTTTGTTGCAGCATACCCCATATAAGAGTTTTGTCACACAACCATCCTAATACATAGATTAGTGTGAAATACAATGTCATCAAATAATCCATTATTTCTCTCCTATGGTGATAACATCTACATGATAATTAACAGAACTGGAGAAATTAATGCCCTCATTCCATATTTCGGATGGTATTTTTAAGTTAGAGTCTGTTTTTGGCACATATACCTTTCCGGACAAATTAAATTTGGGCATTTCTTTTTCATCAGAACATGCTTCAATCACATAGCTGATCACAGCTAATCTCAATAAGAGTTGACGATAGCCTTTTTTTATTGCCTTAGAGACATTTGAAGATTTAATTTCTCCTAGTTCAACTGTTATATTTGCAATATCGGAACCTGAGGTTCTTCCACGCAAATCAATGTCTAGACGACAATTAAAAGGAGCCTAAAAAAATATAAATGGATGAGGGGTCAGTGTACTTATTATATCCAATTTCAAATTGATTCTTAAAAAAAAATATATATATATATAAATGCCTGATTATTTTCAATGGCTATTTTTGCGTCTAACACATATGCCGTCATGAGCATAATGCTCAACTCGGGCGTATTTGCTAGATATAGGCGTTTTTCGTTTGATTTAGCAGTACCTAATTGGATACGTTAAGACTAAGGTTACGTTTTTTTTTTTGATATTTCAAAAATGATCACTAACAATTACCTTCATAATTAGTCCATTGTTTAAGTGCCAAATCTGCTTTTTCTGCAAGTTCGTGAAGGTTTTTGTTATAATTCTTGTCAGTTGATAATTGGCGGATGTATTCTATTGATTCTCCAAGCTTTTTTCGCATACCTTTATTCTATAAGAAGTGTAAACTTACATTAAATGAAACTGTAAAAAACTCATAATATTTTATATCCACTTACGTAAATATAATTCGCAAGTTTATTAACACGAAATAATAGTACATATGCCTGAGAATCATAATATGCATTTTCAGATGGAAGTTGCTTTCGTGGTAACGCAAGTTTAACTAATCCGTTAAGGTCAAAAACTTCAAATTTTGAAGCATAGTGAGTTCCTTGTATCTTGGATATTTCGAAACGTGCTGATAATTCATATATATCTCCTAATTTTTCCTCAATATTTTTGATTGAACTTTTCAAATCGTCTGTTATTTAAAATAGATACGAGTTAATTGACCAAAAATGGAAAAAATTATAAAAACAGCTATAAAAAAGGGACTAATTTATTACGACTCACTTACCGGTGGCAACTCTCGCACTCTCTCTTTCTTTCTCTCTCTCTTCTCTCTCTCTTTCTCTTTCTCTCTCTCTCTCTTCTCTCTCTCTCTCTATTTCTATCTCTCTTTCTCTTTCTCTCTCTCTGTCTCTTTCTCTCTCTCTTTCTCTCTCTCTCTCTATTTCTCTTTTTCTCTCTCTTTCTCTTTCTCTCTCTTTTTCTCTTTCTCTCTCTCTCTCTCTATTTCTCTCTCTTTCTCTCCAACAACTTGCTCTACAATAAAGCAAATGAGTTTTTTGGGCGGATTTGACGATAAGAAGCAGGAAAAAAAGCACAAAATTAGGTGAGTATTCGTTATTCTTGACAAATATGACGGAGAAAGACGAAAATTTAAGTCTACACTTTTGTGTGAAAGATACCAGCTCCAAGAGTTTCTGAAAAAGTTACCAAGTAATTACGTTTTTTTTCATCCGTATCAAAGAGAGCCAGGGCATCATTCACCTGATTTGTAAGAATAACATTCGAACTAATGTGAGCAATTATTTTAGTAAATTTCTCTTCAGGTAGCTCTCGAGTGAGGCGTTTTATCTCTTGATATATTGGGAACATCTCTGTTTTTAGGAAATTAGTAATACAAATTGTACAACTCAAGAAAATGCAGAAACGGGTTAAGTTGTCGCAGATCGCTACAAGAGTCATGATTTACAATACTTTATATATATATATATAAAAAAGTGCTAAACTCTGATATCGTCACAGTCTCGGGATTTCGTAGTTTTTATATATCATGTGAAATGCATTTTAATGCGAAAAAAAATAAATACACAAAAAAAAAAAAATAAACCTATATGAAATGCTTTGCAAATAAATCTATATTACAAACGATAACTTGAATTTATTGCTTGTAATATTGCTATAGGGCATGTTGAGTCCCACGGCTGAGCAAATGCAAAATTATAATATCAGAGACTTTGAGGTTTTGCTGACAATATTTATCACAGCTTTTGATAATTGCCATCATTTCATTTTTTATACTTTTTATAAAGTTGAAACGAATCTTATCTATCAAAATACCAGATATTCGGGGGTTAATATTTGGTATTCACGTTTCCATTTTATATGATTACAAATCAATTTGAATTAGGTAATAGTTGTAATAAAAATATTGCATAATGACACTTTTTTTTTTATCTGACAGTATTGTAAAACGTAAACTTGTAGTGACAGATACTGCGACCCCTAATCAGCAAATTTTTTCTTTTTCGGACTTTCACCACATTTTTTTGCCATGTCCGATAACATTGCAAGTGCAAGTGCTTCTACTAGTCTGACAGTTGAAGAATTAAATTAATGGATGGAATCGAGGATTAAGGGATCTTTGCAGGAGAAGAAAGCTGGCCGAAAAAAATTTAAACTTAGAGGAAATGTGCCTCCATGTAGCAATGGAAATGCGTGCACTTGGGGAAGATTAATAAGGTTACAATTCAAAGGTTTTATGAAAGGAAAATTAAGAAGATAGATGGGCTTATTAGTCATTAGATGACATTGGTTTTTTGGATGAGATGGAACCATCATTTTTACTATGTAAAACCTAGGAGCCGACGGGCATGATTTTCATGCTTCATTCCTCCTTTTACATTTTGATCATTGTAAAAAATTTAAATAGCATGAATTTATGTTATAGCAAATTTCATTGTTTATTTAGATAAAAAAAATGCTATAAAGTTACAATATTTGTATACATTCACTACTATTACAGTATATAAATCCATTTTCGTTCTTCAAAAGTGACGATTAAGCTACAAACGTCAAATGAATCCCCATAAAAATTATAAAATGTAAAAATTTACAAAACAATCATAAATGATTCTCATTCACCAACGTGTTTTAATACGTCGTGCGGAATTGAATCTTTGAAGAGCATTATAATTCTTATTTTCATCTTGCAGTTCAAAGCGAATATTTTCTTTATAAAACTCGAGCATCTAATAAGAATGAAATATATCAAAGTTAATAATAAATATATTTAGCTAAAAATAAATTGATTTTATATGATAAATAATACCTTTCGAGGACATTTATTGTGAAGTTCTTCGAGAAGGTGTCTGGATCTACTTCCCGATTTCCTAAATACAGGATCAATTTGGTAAACTTATACTCCAATTATAGGATATAAAAAATATAAAAAAAATTAGCTTTTTAACACACCAATTGAGGTATCCAACTATTTTTCCCTGATCGTCGAGTTCAAGGAATTCTACGTTAACCGAATCCTTATCCCAATCAAAGCTTTCTTTAGGTTCACGAATCTCGGGATCGAATAACTTTTTCATCCAAGACGGTTCAATTCTTTGCAAGAATATAGGCGGTGGATATAATTGTTGAGTTTGAGAATGAGCAATCGATTGTGTAGCAGTTGGTATACATGTTCTTGCAGTTGATTGTAAGGTTGTTTTGGTTTCCCATTGTTTTTCATTATCCCATGCATTTCGTTCTTTTCTATCATGATGAGAAACCTTTGAACTTACAACAGTAATGGAACGATCAGAGTTACTGGAAGATTCCTGATCATTATTAACTCGATTTATCATTCCATAATTGCGGTGACGGATCAACTTTGGAGAATTACTATTATCCGAAGAATCCGACGTTGGACTTTTTTTATTATCACTGAAACCATCTGATTGTATGAATTCATCCTCACTATCATTCTCGCTTTCTATTCTCTTCAAGGGTGAACCAAATTTTTCTTTCCTAAATAAAGACGTGTTCCTTCTTGATGCTTTTCCTTCCCAATATTGGCCAATCAACTTATCAGCGAATCTAACAGATATATATTTTTTATTTTCAAAGACATTAAAAGATTAGAACGACCAAATTATTTATCATGATTGATAAATGATGCTTACACATTTTCTTGGTCTTCCCAAGTGTTATATTCTGATGACCAGCCTTCCCATTTCAATAGATATTGTAGTTTTCCCTAGAACAATGTGTGATAACATTTAGTAATCCATTAGAATTTAATTCAAGTCTAGAATAATGAAGGACATACCTTGCCATTAAACCTATGATTAAGCACCTTTTCGACAACATACTCTTTAATGGATTCATCCTTGTTCCCATCATCATTATAATCATTATCAATTATATCCTGCACTGCGTCTTCTTGAACCAACATTTTATCTTCAACGATTTGTTTTATATCTTGAAAATCTTCGATGTTTTCAATTTCATTTTTTGCATCACGAAAAGATGCCGGAACTTCGTTGATTGACATTTTAGAGAATTGATGTACCGGGACACCAATATCAGGATTATCATTCCTATCAGCAAACTTTGAGTAGGCGATGGCAAAGAATTTTGGATTATACATGATGGTGAATTCGAGTATAATTCAAGTATATAAATGTGAAGGAAATAAAATTTCTTTTGCTAAAAAAAAAAAAAAAGGAAAAGGAAAAACGCGGTTATTTAAATGAAAAAACATGATGCTAATTCATCATATTTGGTGGTCATGTGTATATGATGTATCATTAAGATCAATGATTTAATATCCGTGATTTAATATCCAGAATAACTTCGTAGATTTATCGACCAAGTTTGATAAATTAAATTTTAACACGTGACCATACAATTTATTAAGTGATATAGAATCTGAAAGAAATTTATAATTAATCACGAGATTTTTTATTATATTTATTTGCAAATTGTCCATCTACATTTAATGAAAGTTTTTATATATAATTTTAAATTGCAAAAAAAAAAGAAAAACAAATAAAAAATTATACATTTGAATAAATAAAAAGGATGCGGAGAATAAGTACAAATAAGGGAAAAAGAATGTGAAAATAAAATTCTATGAAAAAAATGAATTTCTATATGATGAAAATGCAAAAATTAAATAGTATACATTGATTGAAATGAATGTGTAAAAAATATTATGAAATGCAATATGCTAAAATGAGTGTGTAAAAATATACAATGAAAGATTTTTTTTTCTATTAAAAGTATTTAAAAAAAAAAAGAAAAAGATGCTTGCTCTTTTCCTTATTCTTGTTGTCGTTGTTGTTTGACAACGTCAACAACCTCTCTTAATAATCCAAGACTTCTATCATCACCGAGAAGAGCGGTGTGAAAAGCATTCATAACATAAGAGAAACCAATTTTTAACTCTTGATTCCATAAGAACATACTACCACCGGAACCACCCCAACCTAAGAATTCAACATCTTCTAAACCTTTAAGACGGAAATAACCAAAACCACCAACAGATGGAGTGATGGTCTCTTGTAATACTTGATCGAATACAGGGTTAAGACGGGTAGCAATTAAATCATAGGTAGTATTTGAAAGTAATTGAGGTTCCCTTAATTGAGAATTTTGTTGTACATCAAGAGGAAGTTTGTCGGTTGGAAAACTTTCTCCCTTATTAGCCATAATGGCAGCGAGTTTGGCCATGGAGCGAGAATTGGTTACACCATTATATGAAGGACCTTCTGGAATTAACATTTCCAACTTATTCCAATCTTGTGGTTGAGCACGATCGGGAGAAGTTAATACCAATGATTTAAAGGCAACGGAATTCTTATCCATCATTTGAGGGAAAATTGGATGTAATGGTTCGCTAATCATCCATTCAGGTAAAATCAATTTAGACAACATTCTTACCAAAGGGTAAGCATAAATACTTGCTAAACGATCTTTACGAGCCTTATTCGTGTTTAAATAAAATTCGATATTATATTGTGGAGCGATTTCTTCGGCCACGATCCTACCGATAGTACGATGGCGTGGATCAACTCTCCTTACGATTTCATTCAAGTACCAACCACGAGTTATACCATGATACGCTCTTATTGGTTTACCATCGAAATTATGAGGTTGTTTTGCGAGCATTTCCGAGAAATCATCAAGATTATATAAATCTTTAATTGAAATATCAAAAGAGTCGATAAAACCTACACCGGCTCTATGTACCATTAAATCCAAAAGGGTAACGTCCTCTTTTCCACCTTGAGCGAATTCGGGCCAATATTCGGCGATTGGTTTATCATAATCTAATAAACCTTGTTCGACCAATCTTGCTATAACGATACCACTAAGTACTTTTGTACTAGAAAATACTAATTGCAATGTTTTTTCATCATAAAGTTTTCCTGAGGAAGTATCAGCGATTCCACCAGATAAATCAACGACCAATTCATTATTATAATAAACGCTAACTTGTGCCCCAATATCTTGTCCACTTTCAAAGTTTTTCAAGAATATTTGTTGAACATTTGAAAATTCCTTGGTCGTAAATCCATTGATGACAGTCGATGGACATCCAATGTTAATCAATTGGCACGATAATGGAAGGAATGGTCCTCCATTAACGTATCTGTACAAAAAAAATAATTGTAATAAAATGCTAAAAACTAATAGCCTTTTCCTTGAACATTTACCACGAATGGTACGAATAGGTATAGCGGATAAGGGGGGTAATTTGTTTCGAATTTGATTTATCGAATTACTTAAACTATTTATGTATGGTAAAGTTTTTTCGGGAAGATAAGGTGTTAATTTGGAAATGGCTGGTTTTTTAGAGGATTTGGGGGTTGTAATAACATAGGTTTTTACAATGGGTAATAATGGGGTTTTTTCATTACCACCTTCGGTAATTATCATAGGTTCCATTTCAATATCTAACGATGGCATTTTGGAAATGTTATTTATTTCTAAAAAAGGGCAAATTCAGATATGATAATGGATTGTTTCGTTTTTAATATTACTTATTTTTTTTGTAAAGAATGCAATTGATTTTTGTTTTTTTATCCTTAAAAAAAAAAAAAAAAAAAAAAACAAATTTTTTTGGATTGTTTTTGCCAGAGACAATAGATTTTTTCCTTGTATTTATTAAAAAATTTTCAAAATGGAATATAAATAGAAAAAAATCTTTTGTTTACTATTTTGCTTACACGAATTTCATAACTTTAAAAATTATTCATATTTCTTTGTAATTAAGATAATTAAGATTAAAAATTAGTGGTTCAAATTTAATTTCACACAAAGGATATGTTTTTTTTTTAAGAACAAAAGAATGTTAATCACTTTTGCATTCACTAAACAAAGCCCAAACTAGCCAATCAAAAAAAAAAAATTAAATTTATAAAATCTCCTTATTTGGAAAACTGGTTTATTAGGCTTTTTTAAAAAAGACAAGGAAAAGTCGGTAACACAAACACAACTGCGTTTAATTTTTCTTAAAACGGAAGACCGTATATTAAAATTTACCATATAAAGATCAATGTTATGTTGATCATTCGCTAAAGTTCTTTGTTGATAGCATCCACATGTACAAAAAACTCCTTGATAGCCCGTTAAAGAAAGAAAACATTACCTTCTAAGACGATAATTTGAATTTATAATCATCTTCGATTAATCTACTCGCTCTCCAGGCAACCATACCAGTAGGCGCATTGGTATTACCAGCAGGTATGGTTGGGAAAATTGAAGCATCAACCACACGTAAATTTTCGCATCCATACACACGTAATTTATGATCTACTACTCCCCCTTTCTCTTCCGGTGCCATCTTTGCCGTACCACACGTATGAAACGATGTAAATATCTACATACAAAGAAAAAAATAAAAAAGTAAAGACAGAGTCGAAGTAAAAAAAAAAGTTGTTACGATATTACGTTTTTACTGAGAAATTCCTCCCAATCATCATCATTCATCTCCTCTTTACGTTTCATTTTCTTCTTAATTTCCTTTTGTACGTCAGAATATTCGTCATTCAATCCAATTTCTTTAACTTTCCATTTAGCTAAAGCTGGTTGTTTTAGTAGTTCTAAAGTTACTTTTAATGCGCTAATCATTTTATATGTATCTTCAGCTTTATCCAAAAAATTCAAATAAATTTTGGGTTGTTGAAACGGATTTGAGTTTGTCAATTCTAACCGCCCAACACTTTTTGGTTTATTCAAGACAGGTGCTAATGTTATCGCATCTTCTGTATATGCCATTAATTTCGGATCCCATATAGTAGATGCAGCTAACAAAATTTATTTTTTTTTTTTTATTAAAATTTAGCACTTTAAAAGGGGGAAAAAAATAACCGAGATATTTTACCTGTTAATTGAATATCTGGACGATCGTGTAATAATTCATCGCGAGACGGTAATCTTCCCTTGTCGTTAGCTTTAAAAAACATTCCAACTTCCGTTCCGCTTGACCATTCATGTAATGTTGTATTCATGGTAGAATTTGGTACTTCGGTTCGTATTGTAACGTATCCTAATGGATGATCTAATAAATTATTACCAACGGGTAAATCCTTTCTCACATCAATATTATGAGAACTCAATTGTTTTTTGGGCCCAATTCCTGACAACATTAATATCTAACGAATGAGAAAGAAATTGAATTTTAATTTAAAATGAAGCCTTTAAAATATGTAATACATATATGTATATGTAAATATAATTACTTGAGGACTATTAATAGCCCCAGCACAAAGAATTACTTCTCCTTTGGGTGCAACATAAGCTTCGTGTAAGCAACCTTGATAAAAGTATTTGACACCTCTAGCGACGTTCTTTTTCCCTTCCTCAATGGTCGAAAAGTTATCATCATCCCAAAGTATATTTAATACGTGAGAGGTAGATTTAACATTAACAGCCGATATTTTTCCTATTCCATGTGGAGAACCATATGGCTCTCCAAGCGGTTTAAAAGGAGGATATGTTAATGTTCTCTTATTTAATGCATCATTGAGAAACCCATTTGCAAATGAAGACCTTTGTCCATTCTTGGAAGTTAACTATTTATTTTTTTTAAAAAAAGCAACCTTTAAATCGTTTATAAAATTTATTAATAAAGGAATATATACGAATCGCTATTACCTGATATTTTCCTACCCCATTTTGTTTGGATCCATTAAAATCTTTATTAAATGGTACACCAAATTGTATAGCAGCTTTAATTGAATCATTTAAGATATCAAAGGTTTCAAGATAATCTTCTACATGTAACAATCCGTCTTGTCCGTGATAATATTTAAATTCATCATCTTTTTCTTTCCTTTGATTATTCTCTATCGCTTTAAATGCTAAATATAAATTAAAGAATTAAAATGTTATAAATCTTATTAAGTTAAATTAATCTTCCTATTTCCTTTAATTTACCTTCAAGACATTTATCCCAATTCCAAAATTTCTTGTAATCAGGACCTTGTGATGCCCATTCCTCATAATCAAGTTGATGACCTCTTATATATATCATTGCATTAACGCTACTACAACCTCCCCACACTTTTCCCCTCGGATAGATAAATGATCCCATGTTCAACGTTTTACTTGGATCCATACAACTTTGTATAGTTTGTGGTTGCGTAAAATATCCCCAATCAACTTCTAATGTTTTCCAAACCTAGAAAGATGATTTTTTTTTTAAAAAAATAAAAATAAAAATAAATCTAAAAAGTACTTATATGGGAGTGTTTCTAGGAAAATCAGGTTCCGAGAAATTTTTGACTAAAATTAAGAGCTTAATACATTTTAATC